AAAAAATAAAACATTCTTTGCTAATCGTTTAATAACAACCTGATGTTGATATTATTTTACCATTCAAACTATTCTGAAAATTATGATACTTACATGTTTTAAAACTTATTAATAGGACGGATACAAACAAAATCACATGTTTTACGCGGTTAAACATTTTTATTTATTTTACATTTTCACTGAACTGACATCTCACAAATTACGCCATTTTTGTTATTTTTTTAAACTACAACAACTTATAACTTTGTCTAATTGTAGTAAATGGATACAAGGTTTTTTGGTATTTAAACTTTTTTTTTAATTTGTCACAACTTAACATTAATCAAATATTTTAGGATAGTTTTATTTTTTATTTTATTTACCGGCACTTAATATAAATTATTAACCAATGGTAATTGTAATAACAGTATCGCACGAAGTGAATCGCAAAAATAACAGTCAAATAACTAATTTCTTTGGTATAGACTGAGTCAGTAACGTTTCGAGTTTTGACAATTGACAGCAACATTAGACAAAATCAAGAAAGCCAAAAGTCAAAACGTCTAAAAAGTAAAAACACTAAATACATACTTTATTTGTTATTACTTTCATGATTCACTTGTTAAATCTTGATTCTTGATCATAAATCGTAATATTTTCTGAATATAACGTAAGAGAAAGAAACATTGGGCACATAAGTGGGCAAATTCTCCTTACTAAATACGACGTATCTATAAAATGGATTTAAGTAAACTCCCAAATGACAAAAAGCTTGAGCTTTGTGGGAACTATTTCAAAGGTAAGAAGAAAGATGTTTTTATCTATTTATCTTAGACTCGTTTTAATGCTGATTTGTTTGATTGCAATGTCTGAAGTAAATGACTTTTTTTATGTTCCTAGTCGCAGGCTTTATTTTACCAGATTTGATAATATTAATTGGGCTCAATGTGTACTTACTAAACTAATTATTTCGCCTAAAGGTATGTGTTCATATTTTTGGGGTTGAAGGTATAACTCCCTACCTCTGAAAACCTCTTTATAAAACTTTGGTCATAAATAACTTTCCCCTAATAATTCGTATTTTAAATATCTATCAATGCTAAAAAACTGCTAAACAGTTACCCCCTTCTCGTAATCTGAACTATCAGATTAAGATTTCTAATAAAAAATTGTGTATATTATTCAACATTGCTTTATGCATATTTATACACACAACTTTCATCATAAAAAATTTTTTGTCTTCATAAATTTCAGCAAAAATCAATTGACTTCAATGTGTATACTACTAATTATGTTTTACACCAAATTTAGTTTCATTTTGAGTAAGAATTGTATAGGATGGAAAATGAATTAACATTTAGGATATTCTAAATAAGTATATTTTTTTAGTTGGATGTGTATTTTTGCCATTTGTGTGGGCTGTTAATGCAGTGTGGTTCTATAATGATGCCTTCAAAAAACCAGCATTTGAAGAACAAAAGGAGATAAAAAAATGTAAGTCCTCAAATACTCTTTAAAAATATAAAGCTACTGCAATTGGAAGGAACATGTTTGAATATTTAATCTGGTGAACTTAGAAACATAACTAGCTAACAATTGAAAAATCCATGTATTCTGTTTACTGTAAATTAAGCTCTCATTTGTATAAAATTTACTCAAAAATAGCATGTATTTTCATCAGAGTTACGTTTTATGGATATTACAAGATTTGTTTCTTTTTTAGATGTGGTATTTAGTGCAATTGGAGCAATAATATGGATTATAGTGCTCTCTGTTTGGGTGGCAGTATTTCAACTGAATAGAGTGGCGTGGGGGTCTGTTGGAGATAGTCTTTCATTTATTTTACCTTTGGGAAGGGCTTAATATGTTATAAGTATAAAGCTATTGTTTATAAGTAAAATTATTATATGAAATAGAGTTGACATAGGGTGAGTGCATTGGATGTGAGTGAGTTGTTTAAGTATCATACTTTAAAAGCATCACCTGCTGACTAGAAATGATAAAAACCTTGTATTTAATTCATTAATTTACTTGTTATAATTATTTGTCTCATACAGTGCTGTCGCCAATTCTTGGGAGCTTTGAAGTATTACGCAATTTTTGGAGATTATTGACATACCCCCATGTAATGTGTTGTAAAAATTTTCTGTATCCAAGTATAGTAAAACGTTTCGTGACCACCTAGTGACTCTTTATATCTAAAAGTTACCATTATGTGGTGTAAGGTACTGGAACGTCGAAAACGTTTTATAAAAGGACCCCCCCAAATTCGTTACGTAATACTTGAACGCTCCCTAGACCAGAATACTTTTTAATGAAATAGCTATTGAATATACTAAGAGACTGCTCTTAGTATATTCCAACACTGGTTGGCCTAGTGGGTTCAGCATGTGTCTCATCCCTGAAATTTTAGGTTCAATCCCTGGCTGTGCACTAAAGGACTTTCAATGACTTGTTTGTCACATTACTTTTATTATATAGTTTCTTTGTAGGGTTTTAAATCAGTTTGAAAGCCAAACATTTGTAGATAGGTTTCTAAAACTTTCATTTACATATTGTCTACCTAACAAACTGATGTGTGGGTAGCAGTTTACCATCAAAATGAGTAAAAAGAAGTTACAGTCAATATGTTTATTATAAATATAATACTGCTACTCGATGCGCACGAGTCGCGGCGATGCCAGCCTCCTGTTCTGACGTATTTTTTGTACTTCTGATTTTACTATTCTGTAAATAAAGTTTAGTTGTAAAACCAAATAAATTATTTTTTTACATTTGTATTTCTGATTACAACTTACAGCTTGTTAATTAAATATGGTTGTACTATGAAACTTTTTATAGCTTACTACTATGGAGGATTATTTATTATACGAAATGATTGGCAGAAATCAATATTGTTAAAGAAAAGTATAACACTTTCGTTATTAAGGAAATACACAAGCATTAATAAGAATACTAAAAACAGGTAAGACATTCTAAGTTTCGCTTTTTGTATTAGAGAAAATTACCGTATTAGGAAGACGAGAGCCATATAGTCGCATATAATCAGCATATAAAAGACATGCGACCAACTTCCAGCACTTGACACAACTCCTGCTAATAAAGGACCAACAGCTGCTCCTAAACAAACAAAAAACACATATTGACATATTTTCTGATGATCACATCATCGCAACAAAATAATCTTTTGCTCCTGCCAGTTTTGTTGGTATCTAGACCATTCTGGTTATACATTTAGCACTAACCCACAGAGGAACTGACGTTGAAAGTGACAACACTAAACAATAAGTACAACAGTTGACTAATATTATAATTAAAAAAAAAATCTATTAAAGATATATTTTTAAACGTAAATTCAAATTTTATTTCTACAAATTACATTCAAATGATGGGTTCATAATAAAGCAATAATTATTAAACAAATGTAGAATCTTATTTAATACATCAAATTTAAAAAAGCTTACTATACTTATGTACTTATAATAAATATATATACTTACCAATACTGCCCGTACCATCAATGATGGCAGTGACAGTGGCTAGTGCTTGTGAATCACCCGACAAACTGCTGTGTGTTCCTATTGAAACAAAAATAAACAATTTTATTCTATACAAATAAAGTACTTTCTCAAAAAAAGTATGTTTACTTAATGTTTAATATTACTTTTTGGAACTTTTATTATTGATTTATAAACTCTTGTGCATGTATGACCATTAAATAAAAGTGAAAGAAGTCTTTCGATTCAATGTAAACTTACCCAGCTCCGCACTAACCGCCGTAGTTATCAATGCATACGGTCCGTTAACTAAAACACCAGCTATTACAAGTAACCCTATGTTCAAATAATAAGACGTGGCACCCCACCACTGGTAGAAGAGAAGCTGAAAAAGATTAATTTAACATAGACTTAAGCGCTGTAACGCTTAATAAGAGAGATTTTTGCGTTCTTAAAGTTATACGATTTCTAAGGGATTCTAAGATTTGAAGGCGAGTCGGGACTGTCAAAAATTGTGTTGTTAAGTCTCTGAATCATACCCATTTCTAACAGATATAGTGATAATACCAATTCCAGTAATATTATGAGGAAAATGAGGGAATTGTTAGAACAAAGTGAAATCAAGTAACGATTACAATTAAAACTAAAACCAACGATTTACGATTATGATTAGGTTAAAATCGCAACAGCTGTATAACTCACCGTTGGAGCGCATAGGAAGTAGAAAACGGTGCAGACTATACCCGGACATCCGACTACGTCCGATAAAAGTCCGGCCACGATGGCGCCCAATACTCCACCAACGTCAAATGCTGTACTAACTTCACCAGATTGACGTGGAGTTAGGGATGCTGGAAATGACGTACATTTAACATATATATAGCGATATAAATAATAAGAAATTCCGCAACCCAGAAAGACAGTGACACATTTTGCGCCTTTGAGAAGGTATTGATAATCTTTTTTTTTTCAAAATTTAACCCACAGTCTGCGGGTTGTGTATGTGCTCGCTGGCAAGCTTATCCCGTGAGATCTCTTGGATGTAGTTATTCGTAATTAAATTCGAATAATTTTATTTAAAACTATAAAATAAAATTACACACATATTCTATAAATTCGAACACTGATTTTCAATATCTATATTATTAATAGAATTAAACATTAATAGTATATATGGACGTAATTATTAGTTAAATATATATATTATCTTACTGCGTAGTCTATTTTCGTGTCCATACATATTCTGGTAAAGAAGATAACTTACTGGAAGACTTTATATAAAGCGGCAGCCAATAGAGAAAGGTATAGCTGACAAGCTTTGCGAAAAACAAGGATAGAGAAAATTCTATCACTCCGGGTATCAACATCGCGCGAGAGAGAGAGACGGCGCCAGTGTGCGATCGAGAGCGACCGAGGAGTGCGCTCGATTCTGAGGGCTCCTCTTCTTGATACTGTAAAATAAAAATACAAATTATGGATTTTCCGAAATATGTGTATATTATTAATTGGGGATTTTAAAGTGGCTATACATACATATAATGTTAGTCATTTTCCAACTATTGATTATATGCAGTATTATATCCGTTAGTTTTTTATAGAAACTTACCGGGGGCGAGTTAGCAGAATGTCGGTTTGGTCGTAGGCTGGCTGTCTGGAAAGCATGCGATTATTACATTGTTAATGTGCAAATATCAGTTTTGTGATATTAGTATATTAATAATCTCCTCATACAACATAGCTATATCCAAATATGGTTCAAAGGTGTCGCGGTATAATATATAGCTGACCATAGAAAATTAGCCGCAATTACCTGCCATTCATTTTTGTAAATAAATTGCTAAATAACCATTATTTTTACAATTCTTTAAAGTATACGATATACTTTAAAATGACGTAAAATTGATAAAAAAAACATTATCAGCAAATTAATAACACGAAAATGAATTTCAGATAATTTCGACAATTTTTTGTAGCAACCTATCGCTAATCCATTGCATTAATTAAAAATTAATTATATTCAATAATACTGCGTCATCGCGAGCAAAAAAATGTATGTAAATTAAAAAAATATACACACCTGATCACCAACAATGACCTGTGACGGCTCTTCTTCATCAACAGATCTTCGGGCCTCTCTGCTCGGCTGTAAAGGTCTTAATTTTAATATTTTTGTGTGGAGCTTGACTTGAGGAAAACCAATCAAGAGATCCGCCGAGTTTACCGAGTATCTGAATATACTCGGTTTTGAGTTAACCTTTAGGCACGACGTCTACTGACCCAGACACATGGTCTTTAGAAGAATGTATCTATAAGTTATTCTTAAATAAACAAAAAAAAAAGTGTGCGCGTACAAAGTACACATGTCAGAAGTGTACCTAACTTCTTTGGCAAACTAATTTTTAACTCGTGTTCATATTAATCCAAATCTAAAACTTTTGATTTCCGAAACTTAGGTAGAGAAAAAGGAAGATATTGTTACGAAGACGGGTCGACTGCAATGTTTCTTGATTTTTCCACTACTTAGAGAACTTTTCAGCAGGCTGAAATGTGATTTCTGACCGTTTCAGGAGAGGGTCAAACACATATTAGAAAATAGTAATTTACATAATGTCACCCTAGTTTTCAGGAGGCCGTTTCAGAACACGTGTAGTCGAGTGGTACACTTTTCAGGAAACCCGTTTTAAGGCGTTTTCAGGCCTGGTTATACCCCTTTGATGAAGGAATATTCTAGACCGAATTTTCTAGGTGTGGGACAAGGACGGAATGATACAAGAGAGAGAGAGACGGAAGATCGGAACCTTCTCGAAGCTAGACCGAGCACTCTAGAACACCGTACGACAAGGACGGAGCAATGTGCGAGAAAGATAGCAAGTACGCACGTTCTAGTGATACATGTATCTTTATGTTCCATAATAAACATATTTAGAATTGTGCGATCGCTACTCAGTAGCGCTCCCGCCTAGAGAGTTCTCGAACATCGTTCAAGACTATTCCCAGGGATATAATATAAGCGAGCCGAAACGCGACCAGTTAGTTCAGTTTTGAATGCGATATCAAGAGATAAACACCGAAGTGACAAAGTGCGAATATAGTGAAGACAAGTGACAATGTACTATGTGAAGTGCGTGTAATTAAAGTAATTAGTGACAGTATTTTGTGTGTGTATTTAGTGAATTTTTGTGCGTAATTTCCAGTTTTTAGTGTAAACAAATTCCTCGTAGATTTAATTGAAAATAAACCCTTTAATTTATTTCTTCGATAATAAAAACACGTGGCATTTTAATTCACAATTCGTCTTTTGATTTCAATAAATTATTTTGCATAGAATATAAAATACTAATATTTCATACATTCTTTTTAAGAAATTTTAATTTTAAAAATAGAATTTCTATAAGGTAATTTACCCTTTCTCTCTCTTAATCGGTCTCAATCTCTCTCTTTTCTTCGACAGAAACGCTACATCTTCGTGACGTTCCGTAAAAATTTTATGTAATTATTTACTTCATGCGCCAAAATAAGTTTAACTTCAAAAAGCAATGGTTAATACTCACCATTGGTCTTTCTACAGTGAGACCAACGCATCTCGGTTCGGCAGCGAGAAACAAAAACACCAGAAAGCCTACTATTCCCATAACTAACGCTGGGTAAACGAACGACAACGCCCAATCACTTTCCACATATTCAGCCGCCATTACTGTGCCTGTAAAATAATAAATATTTACGGAAAAGAAAAACTTATTTATTATTATTACGTCTTACTAGTTAGGTATTAGTTACCTATTTCCAATTTATGTAACTGTATGTTAAGAATTCTTACCCAATATATTTCCCAAAGACGTATGCGAGTTCCAAATTCCGAAAATGAGTCCCTTTTTACTATTTCCGAACCATTTACCGACTATGGCCACCGTGCCGGGCCACCCGGTAGTTTGAGCTATGCCTGCACATGCCTGAAAGGTTACAGGTGTTTACTATAACATAATATTTTTTCATATGTTTTATGTCCGAGGGCAGATGCAATTCCCTTTCCCACCATGAAACACCATGTGAGACTCGAGTCACTTGTACCCTTGACTATTTTCAACCCCTTTGATAACTCTTTTGAAAACTACCGGGGCTAAGCTCTTGTGTTATGTTCTATCGTCATGATATATATTTAAACATTATAAATGATTTTCTTAAAAATTCGTTAATGACATCACATTAACCAAAACCTCAACAGTTTGCTAAGTGACACTGATAAAAACATTGAAATAGCTATTCGTAGGTAAGTTAACATGTCTATAACGCTGAGCAAGCTATGGGCATGAGGGTAACGGAGACGAGTTTGAAGGGAATAATGCTCAATGTTAGGTTGAGGGGCATCTTTTTGGGATTTGCTTTGAGGGTCATGCAGGGGGTTGTCAAAAGAAATAGGTAGTAGTAGAAATAGTAATATAGTAGTATAGTAATATGGTAATATAGTAATAGAAAGTAAACATTCGGGTAACCAGAACCATTTATGTAAGCTTTGTAACACCTCCGACGACTACATAGTCGGAGAATTATTTGGAAAACGTAACAATAAAAAAAAAGTTAACATGTCTGTTCAAGGAGACGCCGCATCCTTAGAATGTAGACAGCTAGCATCGAGTAGAGTACCGCAAACTCCATTAACATTAGTTAGTCGTACTTCTTAATGTTTTTTAACTTATCTAATATATTATACATTATTTATTTCCTCACCTGTACAATGATATAATATGATATGTCATGTATATTAAATGTTTTCGCGAGGCCGAAGAGATAACACAAAATTGCTGAAAATAGCATCCCAAATGAGAGGAAATACCTCAAATCCACTCTTTCGGCGATCATACCTGAAATCCGACACATTCGTAGAATAACAAAAAGAATTCATATTTATAAGGAGAAGATAATATAGAAGTGATTTAGAGGGTAGACTTGAAAAAATTAAGGAAATGAAATTGGTCGAAGTCCAGTAGTTGTATTGGCAGATACATTTCAGCATTTGATCAGCATATGAATTATTGCTTTGCCGTACTCCTACATACTATAGATTAGACGCTTGTCAAAGTAGTCGAACTCATAGCAATTAAATAAAACCACTTATTTTCCCTCGTTGTAATTAATGCCAGCAGTTTACCATGCAAGCTAATAACATAATCAAAAATGAGGTATACAATGGAAGTGACACTATATTATTGAGCACTGTCATAAACAATCTATTTAATATATCTTACCGGATATAAACATAGCCCCTGCATAGCTGAATAAGAAAGCGGAGTCAAGAGCGCCAAGTAGCGTATTCGCGTCATCCGTATCTGTAAGTATAAATTTTAATTATGAGGGTAGTTTTGGGTAATTGAGATTCCTTAGCTATATTAAAAATTGAACCTATGTCCAAGATCTTCCTAATCCTTCATATTGTACCAAGTTACTAAATAAATTATTATATGTATATGTCCAATTGCTAAATAAAAATAAATCAGTGGCGCTACCACCTACTTAGTTTTGGGCATCAGATTTCTGTATCTGTTTCATGATCATTTGTTATAATTCTAAATCTAGGTGATAAGCCTCCTGTGCTTGGCACGTGCACGTGCACGCCGTCGGCATTTTGGGTTTTTGGCAAGCCGGTTTTCTTACGATGTTTTTCTTCACCGTTCGAGCGAATGTTAAATGCCCACATAGAATGAAAGTCCATTACTGCACAGCCGGGAATGGAACCTACGACCTCAGGGATGAGAGTCGCACAATGAAGCCATTAGGTCAATTCCTAAATACTAGAATATGTATTTACTTACTGAACGGCGCCCAATTACACCACTGGTCATCAGCGGCAGTCAAGCCCGGCCGTGGTGGTAGCGCACTGCAGTTCTGATGAAGGATGCTCTTTACCACCGATATCGGTTTTCGAGTTAGGTGATATGTCATGTATGTAAAGTAGGTGAGGATTAGTACGCTCGCTTGGTACCTGAAAAATAACCATATCTCTACATGAAAATTGTACGCAGAGCATCAATGATATTTAAAATATTAATAATCCAATGTGGTATAGCCCTTATTGTGTCTGAAAGAAGTCCGTTTTGTATGACACACATTGTAGAAGAAGACTGATTTCTGTATATCACCCTTAGAACCACATTCCTTCTCTATTCATCCTTCTGCATCTTACGCTTAGTAAGCCGATAAACATAATTTGTCAACACAGCGCAAGTACGATTTCTTTCTATTAATATATTATTTTCTTGCTGATGTTAACATCACCAAGAAAATAACTCGCAAAACTGCGAGGTGCACGTGAACTATATAATATAACACTTTCGCGGAGTATAGGGTTTCATTAGATTATTTTTTGTTGCTAGTGATAAAATGCATGACCGTGACTCATTGAGGTCGGATGTCACTTGTTTGTATGTATGTTGTGTATATATGCCCGGCCATTTAAAAATGTTTTCATTATTACAATGTTTGTAATGTTCTATGTTATCTAGCTAGTTTTGTCATCGCTGTCCCCCGAACTATATTTTTTTAGACAAATGGTAAATTATTTAGGATTTATTTTAAGTGTGACTTAAGATGATGTTGTGATATTAGGTTTATATTTATGATAAGAAAATTACTTAACTCGTTAGGGCTTTATTGTTGCCCATATGAATACAATTATTTTAATATTAACACCGGTTTAATAATAAGTGTCAAATTAGTTTCTTCTTAGATTTCTTTGTTGAGCCTTTCTTGTGCAGGGGAGTAAATATGGTGTGTGTCCATTCCAAAGGCCAAACTCCTGTCTGCCACACCTTATTGCAGATGAGATGAAACATCTGGTCGCCACGTTCTCCTAAGGCTTTAATTGTCTCTATAGGAATTGCATCTCTACCAGTTGCTTTTTTGCTTTTCAGGTGTTTTATGGCAGCACTTACTTCGGACAAAAGGATGTCTGGTTCCAAATTCTCTGGGTCTGGTTCTGTGCATATAGACAGTCGCGACTGCGGATCCAGGAACAATGTCCGGCAATAGCTCCTCCACGTTTCAGAGATTTGTTCGAGTTCTGTTACCACTTCATTTTTGTCGTTCTCGATAGCCCAGGTTTTAGCAGGTAGAGATTTAGTAATAAGACGAATTTTTTGGCAAAGATCTCTAGACTCGTGCTTCATAGCATGTTTTTCAAGTTCGTTACCAATGCTATGAAGGTGGGAATTGTGGTCTCACCTGCAGCAGACTTGGATGTTAGCAGAAGGCTGATTCAGTTCTCTTATATCTGCTCCTGCGGCTCTCTTAAGGCGCCTCTCTTCTATAAGAGCAAGGGTGCTGTCCATCATCCAGTGTTGACGTTTACGCGTTTCTGATCTTTTTGGACTAGACTCCGTGACTGCATTTTGGATGAGTTGTTTAGCCTTATTCCATAGCATGTCTGGTATAGCTTCGGTGTGGTTCACAACTGTCCAATCTTTCCAACTCCGCTCAATGGCTGTAGTGAATTTCTCATTATCTGCCGCGGCTTTGAGCATCAACCTCATCTTTGCGATAACGAGTTCGTGATCGGAACCACAGTCAGCCCCAGGAAGCGTGTGGGCATTAAGAATAGAGGTGCGCCAACGTGATCTTATTAGTATGTAGTCGATCTGGTTTTTGGTTCTACCTCCAGGTGACGTCCAGGTGAACAGTCTACGTGGATGGTGTTGGAATAGACTGTTCACCACTACCATGTTATTCTCGTCTGCGAACTGCATGAATCTTTCACCTCTTTCGTAACGTAACCCAAGTCCGAAGTTTCCCACACATTTGCTGCACTGGGAAGAAATTGCGCGAATTTTTAAATTGAAATCACCCATTATTATAAGTAATTCTCTATTGGGAATTTTGGCAATTGTTGCTTGTAAAACTCTCCAATACGAGAGATAGAGCTTCACTAGTGGGGGCATATGCCTGTACCAGATTCAAGTTTATAGGTAACGCTTTGAGCTTCTATCACACTGTTATTCTGATGCTTAGGAATAAGAATCGCTACTCCGTTTTGGCTACTGTCATCACTACTGGAAAAGTAGACAACATGGGCGTCAGTAAAGAAGTGCCCGTTGTTTCTCCAGTGCGTATTGTTAGACCGCAAATGGTGAATGACTTCACTCTCCACGATACCTACTAAGTTTACCGGGCTTTAGCAACCCGCGAACATTCCACGTGTCTATCTTCTGGATTTTTCGCAACTTGGAGTTTGACAAATTAGTATTTAACTATTAATAATTATAATTATTACGAATTGTTAATAAATAGTATCGATTCGCCTATACGTAAAATTGATCTGCGAATAATAATAAATATCTTCCTCAGTCGTCCTATCTCCCAGTTAAAGCTGTCCAGGCAACACATATTATTAATAGCATTGTGTTGTTAATTATTTTCTTCTTCAACGTACTAGCCTGTCCATTATCATTTCATTTATCTATGACCTGCTCTTTCTCTATGAAAAATTGCCTGTATTTACATCGAACACTAGACAAACGCCTTTTCTTATAATCAAAGAACATCGGATTTAAATAGATCAGGAGAACTTGAACTTGGGGCAAGGGACTTTGGCGATAGCGATCTAAGCCAGCTTTTAGTTACCTTATATCCAATTTCCTGATGAGGAGATCATAAGGGCATTGGCCTTGCAATAAATAATTGCGATGTTTAACCTACCACCAGGTATAGTAACATATAACAGACAAAAATAGTAAATGATTACCAAAATTAAACCCCCATTTTAATGTAAAATTACAACCTAAGTTTTAACATCTCCTATCCTATTTAACAAAATGATCCAAATAAATCATTGTTAACCCAAAAGTAGTAAATGATCAAAATTAAAACAGCATTTTAATGTAAAATTATAACCAAAGTTTTTACATCTTGCTATCCTATTTAAGCAAACTGGCTCAAAACTCATTGTTACCCAAAATAGTTAATGAAAACCAAATTATTAACCATATTTTAATTTAAAATGAAATGCAAAAAAATAAAATCTCGTTATCGATTAAAGTAAATTACCCTCGCAAAAAAATATTTTGTTATTTTTGCCGAATAATTATTCGTCTTCATCTGATTCCGATGAAGTACTCAACAGCGGAGCACACGAACTCGGTCCCCTAAGTTTTCATTCGCCATTGCAAAGAAGATAGATACCAAAACACACCCAATAAAAGCAAGTGCTCGCACGCGACTAAATTGGCGATCTGTCCGGCTGCGCGCTTGCGGTGTGGTGGGAGAGGATCGTAAGCCGCAGACATAACTTAATATGGCATCATAATGCTTCATTTGGTAATAAGCCTACATTTTATGTCAATCATAGTGGTTTATTTAGGCAGAAATAGCGCATTAATTTGCTCGCTAAGATTTGGTGATCATTTACTACATTTGGTGTTCGAATACAATTTGAAGTGCAGTCGTGACTAAAATAGCTAGTACTATTGTAATTTTAGACGTTATTTATCTGGTGTTAAGTATATATTTTTGGTAAAAGAACTAAGGGTATCAAAGCATTTACTTTTTTAACCCCAAAATAATTGCGATTATGTGTTTTGCATATCGTTGTGATATTCTTAATGATAAGACAAAAAAAATTGATTGAAAAATGATTAGAGATGTAACCACCAAATAAAGCATTATAATACATCATCAGTTCTTATCTTAACAGATGATACGATCTATTTTTCGCCAGGATTCGATACCAGAATTTCCGAAGTAAACTTTATAAATAAGTCCGTTAAAAAAACCGCTTACTGATGTTAAAGGGATCATAACTTAGCAGAATTTTTGTCGTAAATATTTATTTAATAGTATTATACTTAAGATAATTATTGCTGTCTTGGAGGAGATAAACCTGCGTGCATCGGTTCATTTAAAATAAATTAAGATTGACATCTATACGGGTTATCGTTTATAATCCGTGAAAATGTTGAATTAAATCTATTGATCTGTTCATTCATAAAAACTAGACAAAACCGTGTCGAGGACGATACGATCGTTGCACATAGCCATATGCAAGATTGAATCACGAAGTTAGATTCACTGAGGTCAAATTAACGTAATCAAAGTATTGGTAAAAATATTAACACATTTCGATCTAGAGAAGGGACATCTAGAGAAGACAAAGAATGCTTAAGCAATTTACTGAAAAAGAAAATCCTATTCTATAAAAGAAAAATATAAACAAATGTGTGAGCTTTTGCCTTACTTTACTTAAATAATTAACAATTGAATAACCTAATTTTGAGACTGAAAAATTTGGAAACGGTTATTGAGTAAACCATCCAAATAACATATGACACAAAGAATAATAAGTGGTTCTATTGTAATTCATTAGTGCAGTTAAATAAACTGTTGAGTAGGATCTCTGAATTTCTAAATAAATGAGTTAGTTCCTCAGTACTAATCTATCAAGTAACAATATTTAACAACCTAGTTATAAATGGGGAATCTATTTATGCAACATACTTAAGTATTTACAAAACATCTTCTTCCGTTGTTTGTTTCTAAGCAAATATTCAACTGTTAACATTAAATTTAAATCCATTGTTCTGTAATTGTGTTTCTTTTTAATATAACATTAGGAAGTGATGCTATATTGGAGAATGATTAGATATACAAAAGTGTTTTTAATGTCTGATTAAAATCTTATCACCAATAAAGATTTATTACTACTTTAATATCCCTTCAGAACTATAATTTAATAGGTAAACTTAATATCTAGACCTAATAAGCAACAAAACCTATAGATTAATACATCATCTAGAACACGATTCGGCAAATACAAAATAGCTGGTTACTATCTGTTAATTAAAGAAATAAATATAATGTATCAGCAAATTTTAATTTTATAATAAATTACTGCAACATTAAGATTAATGAAAGAAATGAATAAATTTTATTTTCCTTTAAAGTACTGAATTTCAATAAAATTTATTATGACTATAAAACTATGTATTATCAGCAGCTCACTCATTAAATGACAATGCTAATGTGAGTCATATTGAAAATATTACCCCAATACTTGTTTAAATATTTATTACAGCTTAAGTTATAATTGTGTTAGCTTATTTAAAGTAAAAATATTAATTTGCTAAATATGAGCCTATAATTGAATTTGCTACGAATCATACACACTTGAATTTTTCTAGTCAAACATTTAATTGTATCTGTTATAGGATTAATTTTTATTTTACAGACACTTTTGTTTATTTTGAACTATTGTTCCACATATAATACATAGTACATACCATCTCAGCCTGTTTATTTGCCATCTCGGACACCACCAACTATTGAACTTTTCTAAAAACTGTAAACCGATTGGCGCGTCTCTATGAATACCGCTCATAGTAATAAAATGCAAAAATTTTCTTTTCATTAAACTTAAATCTACACCACTCGGGCGTTTCATTCATTGTTTAATATCACACACATTGTTTCTAAATAAATTAATGTTTACATTCACTAAATAACTTCTATTTTATTTATACACAGTACAGAACAGTTTATAACATATTTGATTTGAATACTTAAGAGAATATGAGGAGTCTATGCTATGAGCTATAGTAAAATAAATTATTGTTTTTCTTTGTTTTTTTACGAAATCAAAATATTTGTGGGAACACACGTCTGACATCGGTGAGCTGACACGTCATTAATCAAGTGACAAGTAAACACAGCGCCTTAACAATACAGTGACACTTGTGAGACATAGTGACAATTCAATCCAAGTGTTCCTAATCTGACGTTATCGTTTAAATTTAATTTTTTTGTCTACGAACAGTTATGTCAAAATTACAGACTATGTATTATGTAAACATTTGTAAATTTCAGAACAAAAAATAATTTTATTAAATAAGGATACAATAAAATCACCGATTATCATAACGTAATCATAATTAATTATTTTTAATTTAAAAAGCATTTTTGTTTCTTCGGCTTTGTAATGAAACAATCTAGACTGAGAATCATTGGTTTTTGTATAGATTTTCAAGACATTTGTATGCATACACAGTAGTTTTAAGTATTAGTAGTATGTAATGACGGAAATAATATAATTTGAAATACCGTAGCGTATTATAATCATTTAGCCTAACTATAGTCTCCTTCGCCCTAATAAGGTCGGGGTTGGCCCGCCAAACTTTATCCCTTTGCTATTTGAATTATTTATGTTAGTTATTGTATATATAGAGTACTTGCAGTCAACCACTGTCTTTGTTTATTATTATATAAAGTTTAATTGTCAACAAATCTTATTAGTGCATACTATTAAAAAAAACAATTGTGTTTTACTATAGTTTATTTATACAACTACAGGAGGGCTTTAACTTCCATCATGCTAGAATTGACTTTGTTATGATGTTTAAATTGCTCATACAAGATAGAAGAGCAAATTGACCTCCTACATATCATACAAACTTGGGAGTGGGTGGTCTAGTGGTAAATAACAAAAATGAAATATTGATTGTAATGGAGAAACATTTTTTATAACATAATCTAATGTTATGTTTTTGTAGAAGGATGCTGCAATAAGAGAAGTAACGGAGGAAACTGATGTTGATACCATTTTTGAATCTATGGTCACCTTCAGACACACAGATAATGCTATGTTTGGGAATTCAGACATTTATGTTATCATTTTGTTAAAAGCTACCTTAGATATAATCCCTAAATCAGAATTAGAAATCAAAGCTTGTAAGTGGATATTTATTTTTAAACCATCCTGATGTCATTGATTTTAACAAATTAATTGTGAACTTTTCCACACGAACTGTCATTTCCATACAAATTTTGTTTTCGACTTTCTACATACACTACTGTTAAGGCATCTTGACTAAGGCGGAAGGCCCAAGCATTAGATTTAAAGACAAGAAAGTTTAAATCACAACTCATGGTTGGTGGGTCATCTGTCATTCCAAAATAACCATTGTATAAGGTTGGTATTTAAATTATTAAATACCTACATTAAGATACACAGATTGTTTGATTAGCAGTTTCCTTTCCTGAAAATTAGACTTGCAACGAATATTCGGTTACTATTCGGCTGTTTTTTTTCGGCCGAATAGCGAATATCTTCATATTATTCGGCCGAATACTTAAATAATATATTTTGTCATAGAGAAATAATTGATAAAATTAAAATCGATTGACTACGTATATAATCATATTTCCATTTCTGTTATAATCATTTAAGTAGTCATTGGTACATAACACAGGTAGGTACTTAATCATCTTCTGAATCGGAAAAATGGAGGATTCTATGTATTTGAATTATTGTGGTAATAAAAACTTAGAAGGGTAAGGTTCTCATTTCTTTTATAATCATTCATTGGTACATAAAACAGGTACATAATTTAATCATTTTCTGTATTAAACAAGTTAAGAATTTTTCTATGCATCTGAATTATTTTCATAATCAAAATTTAGAAGAGGAAGGTAATGGTGCAGAAAGACTAACTTTTCTGGATTTTTAGGAAGTGGTTAACTTCTTTTTTTCTCGTAGACCCTGCCAGCTTCAGAGAAAAGGCGCCGACAAATATTTTGCTGCAATCCAAACACGGAAATTCAAATTTCCTTGCTTGCCACCATGTATACGGGTTGTCATGACGTGATATATTGTTATATTTAAGAAAACATCCATTTCTGTTGAAACTGCATTTTTTTTTCAATGAAAACAATCACGTCTGTACAAGTTTTTGGCGCTAAAATCCAGCCGAATACTTTTGCCTAATATTCGGTATACTGCCGAATATACTATTCGTTGCAAATCTACTGAAAATATATTTAGGGAATCTGTATAAGTAACTTTATGTGAGTTAAGTAAAAAATGGTTAATGAGCTCAAAAACTAACTTTATTTGTAAATGTTGGGTACAGGAAATTATTTCAAAAACATCAGATGTAGTTGGTTGCATTTGTAGGCTTTCCAACATGTTTCAATTATTTTGTCAGTAATCAAATTTCAATTTGAAAACATAAATTTTGACCTATACAAAAAAGAATGATATACACAAAAACAGACTATCAAAAAACAAAGTTTAATCTAAGTCAGGGACTTGGGATTTTTTTGCCAAAATGCTGCCATCTTCATCAGATCTGTCAATATCCCTAAGCATTGACTTTATAATTCCACCTAACATTGAATTAGGGTTACTAACTACGGTTCCCTGGGGCAGAAATTCAAAACCAGACACAGGCAATTGTGTCCAAGTACCCCAAGTAGCGAGGGTCACGCTTTAGAAATTTATCATAGCTTTTACGTAGCATTAAAAATTTCATAGCATTTTTTCTGAAAGGAAAAATACAATTTTTAATTGTTTTGACTTACTTTCATATTGCTTTAATATTTTTAAAACTACAAAATATGTAAGAAAATTGTAACTTACTGATCAATAACTTTAAGAAGCAAGTATAAAAAATTCAGTAATGGATATTGAAATGGTGGAACTCTCTCATTTAAATTTGGATGAAAGCTTGTATATTCCTTGAAAGCCTCATGAGCCATTTCCTTATTTTTCAAACAAAGAATTTGTAGCACTGCCTGAGCTATAAACATAGCAATTTCTGACTTATATCCTTTAGTTTTATGTAATTCTATCAATTTAGTAGCAAAAGCAACACCATCATTTGAATGTAAAAAATGCCTATAAGCAGATGGTAACTTCTTTTCTTGCCAGTACACTTCTGCAATTCTCTGAAAATTTCCTTATAACATGATTTAAGAAAACATTGATATGTGTCATACATTAAAAATGGATGGAGAATGAGAATGTACAAAAAAGATAAATTGATGGTACATATAGTTTATAGGCTTGGACTAGAGATGCTGTTGGCCAATAACTATTAAAAGAAATTCACCATTGTTATATGTATGTATAAAGGTGGGAACTGACCAAAGTTACGAGGTGAAAAGTAACACGTTACTCAGCGAGCATTCGTGCAGTCAGTACGTCGTGTTACGGGGAAACCAGCAAGCGACGAGCCGCTCGTTGCTCGCTTTGAGTGCTCCACTCGGCTGTCGGTTTTTTGGCGAATCCTTTGACTGTTACGCGGTTCAGTCAGTACGCGTCGCACGTCGCGAGTGATCATGATTATGATTTTCTATAAATTTTATCTTTTTTTACGTACTTTTGGTCCAAATGAATTCAACAGTTCTTCAAAAATGAGACATGCATACAAAGTTTTAACACTGTCCAGTAATCATTTGGTTTTTTAATAATGCAATCAATAACAAACCACCTCATACGCCTGTGTTTTTAAATTAGTTTGATGTCTAGTTACATTTTTTCTTCTTCTTCTTAATTTGGATGAAACAATAATTAAATAGAATGAAAGATATCAACATGTCCTCGCTGTCGGCCATCTCGTGAACACTGGCGGCGAAAGCGGAGCACAGAGTTTTGAAGAGCATGTTACGCCGATTTTAAAACACCCTCAATGCGAATGCTACATTACACCTCGTAACTTTGGTCAGTTTCCACCTTTACATTCAACTTCTCATGAAAGTTGAGTATATTATACATATACCAGTAGAATATTAATTTGTGTATCCATGTATACAATATCACATTTAAAAGAAAATGTATACCTTATGGAGTAAAGGATGGCCTGTCGTGTTTTTATCCATTGACCACTTTAATGCAATTATCAAAAAGGTTTCCCTCTCCACAACATTTGGTTTTATCTTAGCAAAGAGTTGAGCAATTTTTTCAATCCATTCTTCACATGGTTTTGTGTGCGATTTTATGAGTACATTTATAAGAAGTATCGCCAAACCTGTACCACTACCTTGTTGATCACATTCTAACAATATGTTTGCACCGCTTTGTAATAATTGTAGCAAATCACCATACTTCTTTTGATTAAGGTATCTACAAATTAAGAACAGCAGTTAAGTAAATAAATTCCATCATTAACAAAACTATTTATTTTTATATTTACGTTAACTATGTAGGTACCTAAAATAAAGAGTTCTGAACATTTGAAGTGCTTCATAGTATTGACCCGCATTTACGGCTGCTTCAAGTTTTTCCAAGACTCTAGCGACACCTCTTTCTCCGCGAGCCATTGTTTATCTATTCTTGAAAACTTAATAACATTGAAGTTGACTAAGATATACGATCACTTCTTCAAATCAACTTTGAATTTTACAATAAACAATTAAATAAGCAACGAGGAAGGAAATTAGTATACTTCGGTCAACGGTCAGTAACAAATAACAATTAGCAAATTTAGAAATTTGTAGGAGGTTCGTCAGTCATAGCAGTCAGTTGAGTGTTGTAAATTGTCATTGTCAGAGGAACTGAACAGTTGTCATATGTTTGTAAACTATCAGCTATCTGCCGTCATACCATAGACATAAAATAAAAGCTAATTTATTGCTCGAATAATAATGAAAGTGAGACTTTAAATGTATAGAAAAACATTCAAGAAAGCCGAACTAAGCAACATCTTTATGTCTTTTCTGTCTCTTAAGTTCTAATTGCACTCTCTTAACTAAACTAAATTTTCGTCTCTTTCTGTCAAAATATGTTTATGCTGTGCTTAAAAGAAACAGACTAGTACTTAAGTTAAAACGGTGTAATAATACTGATTAATTTTTAATGAATGAGTTCTAGTTGCGTTGCCCCATTGATGACTTTCCTGACTAAAAGTATTTGTGTAATGTCTACCACCTACCACAATAATTAGTAGTTAGTACCAACGTATGTATATATACATCTACATACCTATATAGGTATTTAAAATTAACAGCTAATTATTGGTATAAAACAGTAATGTTATCACTATTGCTATTACGAATAATTAAAATTTTATTATCCGTGTAATTATACAATAAAATATAAGTTTTACCTAACATTATTATGTTTCCTATTGTAAGTTTTAAATTAAATTAGGTTTTTAACAACCTGAAAATATTATTAATTAGTTTTAAAATATCATCAGAAATGGGTAGGAGCTTTCATGCTGGTATTGGTCCAGGGGAGCGTGGATATACGCAAAACAGGCTGGCTAGACCGATTGGTGGAATATCACAGACATCACTTTATCCAAGATTTACAGAAAATACCAGATGTCCAGCTAAAGGGTATGATAGCCACCATAGATATAAAAATGAAACTACGTTAGGATTTAAATCGCCGTATTTTCAGCCAAAATCTCCAACGCCCCACCTGGCTATTTAGATTCTGAGGATTGGGATTATTCGTCTGTACTACGTCTGCTATCGCTCATCAGACAAAGCGAAGGGCTGGGTCCTGTGAGACGTGTGTTACGACATGCTTTACAGGCTACACGACGCATGAGCATTAAGGAGAGTTTGAAGTTGTTTCCCAGTTTGCAGAAGGTACTAGTATTTTTAATCTTAAATTATGTCTTTTATCCTATCAGTCTTAGTACCTATCTTAAATTCTAAAGACGTATTATGAGTTATATAGCCCCTGTTGAACGTTAAGTATTTTAAGTACCTACGTTAATAACCTTTTGTTCTTTCTAAACTAACATACACGTTTTATAACATAAAACAGAATTCACTTTCACATCTCGTTTTGTATCTTTCTAATTCATTTGGGTAAAAAAAAATGCAAAAATATAAAAGTCAGACAATTATAAAAATTTAAATGTGTCTATCTGCGTAGACCTGTTTAATCAATAAACAGTTATTTGTTTCAAGATATTGAGATTTTGCAGGAAATACCAAACGATTTGTATTACGACATCGAAGAAACTGTCGAATATTACAACGATGTGAAAACACCGAAATATAGCGAAAATAAAACATTGGAAAATGCAATAATTGTTGTAAGCAACCCCGTGGAAGCCAGGCTACCAAGTGCTATGATAAGTGTTCATTTACTCAAGTATGTATTTTTTTAAAGAAAAAACTTTTGACCGGATTAAAGTTATGTATTATTATAAATGTACAATTATTTAACATAATTTTAAATTTATCCGACGTTTCGCGTGCTTTACAGCGTGCGTGGTCACGGTGACTGAAGACAAAACGAAATGGGTTGCTCGATAGACGAAAAATATGGCACAGAGCGCCCCACGCTTTTTCACAATAACACCAGTATTTTTTGTTCATTACCATTTTCAGCCTAAATTAGGAATTATTTTTCACTTTTTAGTTTGATGTGCTTTAAAAGCGTGTTTTTTAGTTTTTTTAAACTGTATTTATTTATTTTTTTTATTTTTTAGTTAATTTTTTTTTTCGGATTATTGCATTGTCATCGATCTTTGACAGGTGCGCAAAGTTTGAATTAAATATGTCCGTTAAAAGTGGGTCAAAATCGAGTCCGAAGGAGTTGGTTACATACATACATAGTACATACATACAGGTGAAGCTAACATAAAGCGTGTAAAAAGTATCACAGCTGTAGAGAAAGTTGCATTATCTGTATTTATTTCCCCGGAGTTGGTATCGACTAAAAGATGGTGGGTTTTGGCAAAAATGGCTCACGGTGTCCTCTATTTTCGCGGATTGTTTTTCTTTTTGAGATTTTAATTTGTGCGCAGATGCGCAGCTTGTTTCGGTGTAGCACCTGTTTGACATGCCCTAGTTCCTCCTCGAGGTGGGCATCATCACAAAGACGTTGGGCTCTCTGAAACAAACATTTACTGACAGAAAGCAGTTGTGAAGGGTGGTGGTGGGATTCACCATTGATTGTAAATTTATAATAATACATAACTTTAATCCGGTAAAAAGTTTTTTCTTTTAATGTGTAAAGCTTATGTCAATCAAAGACAATACTATGTATTTTTTTACTAATTTTTTAAAATTTTAATTACTTATCACATTGTTCAATGTTCGTAGAATAACATAATTGTATTCAAGAACAAAGTGACGTCGCCTGTAATTTAAACCCAAATAATTAATTCGTTATCTATTTTCGTGGTCCATACATTGTGTTGTTGTACCTTTGTTTTTTTTAGAGAAATCCTAGAAAACCGAGCGAAAGCAGCAAGATATATGCCTAAAACAAAAATGACATTGTAAGTAGCGTATTTAATGTAAGTAATTTGGATAAAGCAGTGTTGTTAGTGGCTTCAGCGTACGATCCCTGAGGTCGAAGGTTCGATCCTCGGCTGTGCACCAATGGGCTTTCTTTCGGTGTGCGCATACGTGTGTCAGGCACAGGAGGCTAATTAGCTACTTGCCTATTTCATTGACAAATAATCATTAATTTGGCATTTTTAAATTTTTTAAATAAAGGCTTTGTTTATTAAATGCATTGAACTCTATGGCCCTATGACTTTGATTAACGAAATGATGATTGGGATATAAGTAAAATATTTCTAGTGGTTAGTACCCCTGACTGCGAATCCATGGGTCCCGGGTTCGATCCCCGGCTGAGACAAACATCGATGTGATGAGCATTTGGTGTTGTGCTTAGGTCTTGGGTGTTTAAATATTATGTATTTATATGTCTATCTATCTATAATATGTATGTATATCCGTTGCCTAGTACCCATAACACAAGCTTCACCAGCTTAGCATGGGACTAGGTCAATTGGTGTGAATTGTCCAATCATATAAAAAAATAATAATAATTGCGGTGCCGATGCAGATTTTAATAATGACGCCTTTAGTTGCAACCACAGCACAAATAAGTAGAAACTTTACAATCGTTCTGGAAGGAGCTAGTCTTAATAAGCCAGGACTTACGCACAACGGACCAAATCTAAAGGCGGAAACTGAATCAGGCATACAGATAATCGTATGCTATCACCAGCCACCGTTAGTATCTGCCGAAAAGGGCAGTCTCATCAAATGTATATGTTTATTGTTTATATTTCAATGTGTGTTAAAAGAAAACTAGGAATTTGAATTTAATATATTATGTTTTTTTTATCAACAGCATATGGAAAGCGAAGAACAATACAAGGCTGTCTTCTAGCGCACCTCAGGATGCCACTACTCTGGGAGACAGCGCGAGCGGTAGGTTTATTCTATAGTACAGAGACGTACAAAAATCATCAAGATGTTAAATGAATCCATGTTAAACTGTCACTTCTTCGGTATAAACAAGTGATACATATTTATGAAACATTAAAAAAACAGACCATCGAACCGTATATGAAAACTGTTTTCATATTTGTCTCAGGCCCATAGATATATTCCACTCACTGATTTAAACTTAATTTCAGTGACCGGGATCCATGGATCAGGCAATTCGTCTGTTGATAACACTACTGTTGAGTAGTGGAATTTCGGTTTCAAAAAAGGTTTTCACAATAAATAATATAATCTATATTTAAATAAATAAATAAAACCTTTATTTCCCAATTAATAAGGTACATTTCTTTATGTGGTTTTTAAACCTTTCAAAATTAAAAAATTATTAGTAGATGAATAAATATTATGACTATATTTCTATCATGCTAAGTATTATTATTTACAGTTTTTGATATTCTAATTATTTATGGGAACCCCTCTTCAGTGAAGGCCTTTCCTTTTGCCAGTTTTCTTATTTTCGCTATGTGCTGCCATTTGGGGCCAGCTATTTTTTTAATATCTTCTTCCCAGCTCGAAAGGTCGCCCTCTCAGCGTTTTCCTTTAGGTCCTTTCCAGGTGTAATTTTTTGTGTCCATCTGTCGTCTTTGAGCCTCCAACATGCCCAGCCCACTTCCATTTTAGTTTTAGTGCGTGATTTAATGCATCTATTGTTTTTGTTTTGGATCTTATGTCAGCGTGTCTAATTTTTTGTATTTTGCTTATGTTCAGCATGCTGCGCTCCATTCCCCTTTGGCACGTAATGATTTTTGTTTTTATTTTTATTTGTAAACTTCCACGTTTGGCACGCGTAGGTTAAACACGGGATCAGACATGAGTCCATGACTTTCTTTTTAAGATTTATAGGCATATGTTTTTAAATAATCTTGTAATCAATATTTATTCCATTATTTTTAATTCTCCTTTGTACTTCTAGTTCATTGCTACTTTGGCTGAAACCGACTTGTTTTCCTAGGTAGGCGTATTCTCGACTATTCTAGTGTGTTGCCGTCTAGGATTATGTCTTTCTTAGTGCCATTTGACATGAGTTTTGTTTTGGAAATGTTTATTTCGAGGCCCACCTCCTGCTAGTGTTACAAAGGTCTTCATCATGCTTTGAAGTTGAGAACTGATTCGGAAACAGCACTAAGTCGTCTGCAAACGAAGGTGACTCAGATATTTCCCTTTTATATAAACCTTTTTACTCCAATCTATTCGCTCAGTCAGTCTCTATATAGCAATAAATATCCTCGGAGAGAGCGGATCGCCTTACGAACACCTCTTTTAACAGGGAATATGGGTCAGTAGTTTCTATTTGACTTGACTTGTGCACTTTTCGTATACCTTTTTATAACATCTATATATGACTTTTCTACATTTTGAGCTTCAGAGATTTCCATATACTTGGTGCGAGACTGTGTCGAAAGCTTTTTGTAATCTATGAATGCTGTGTATAAAGGTCTTTGAAACTCCTGGTATTTCTCTATTATTAACTCTAGTGTATGGATGTGGTCGACGGTACTAAAACCCTTTCTAACCAGCCTGTTCGACCGGTTGTTTTATTTCTATCGATTGACTAATTCTTGGTTTAGTATTGTAGAAAAGATTTTATACCAGTTGGTAATAGGCTTATGGGTCTGTAATTCCAATGTCGTTAGGATCTCCCTTTTTATATAGCAAAATTATGTTAGAATTTGACCATTCAGACGGTGTTTCGAGAGATTCCATTATTATATTAAACAGTTTGGTCAGTGGCTCAGTTAGTAAATTATGTGCTGTCTTTATGGCATCGTTGGTTATACCGTCGCTTCCAGGGCTTTTGTCTGGTTTTAGTTTCGTTATCGTGTCTACAACTTCTTTACACTCTATTGGAGCGATATTTTGTTTAGGGTTTGCCTGTAGATAGGTCTTAGTACTAAGGTTTCAGAGTTGGCTTTAATTTCAGCGGAGTACAGTTTTTTGTAAAAGTTTGTTGCAACGTTTACGATGTCTTTCCTGGAGTGTTTAGTTTTTTCTGTATCTGTTAAGCCTTCGATCCAAGTTTTATATGTCCTTAGTTCTTTGTAACCTTTTTTTAAGCTTCCTTTTAGTTCTAAATATTTTTTGATGGTATTTTTTCTGTGATTTTTGTAATCTCTTTTTATATACTTGCTGGTTAGCTTATACAGAGCTTTAAGTTCATTTTTCATGGAACGTGTTTTATTACTGTTTATCTGCAAGTCATGCCTCCTGCTTATTAGATTTTTTGTACGTTCTGACAAAACCTCTTGTGTTTTTTCTTTTTGCTGGTGTACCTTTCTTGCGTTACGAAGGCTAAGTTGTATGATGTTGATTAATTTATTGTAATATTCTTGTGCCGTACAGTCAGGAGACGTGTCTTGTAAAGCTGGAGTTGGTTGCTTATCAAGTTCCTGTATTCTTTAATTTCTTCAAGTCTAATATAATCTATATTTAAATATTATTCCAATTCCTATGAAGAAACTTCATGCTAAACATAATACAAATCTATTCTAAAGCAAAATTACATTGATTTATATTTAATAACATATTGTTTATATCTCATTTCAGCATAAACATTTGAATAATAGGACTTAATATAAAATTTAATAGAATTAACAGATTGGCGAATTTTTTGAAATTCCATAAACTCTTTGAGGTAATATCTTCAAGTGCCAGGTACAGGGCATCTGTGATCTGTGAAAATAAGTATTTTTATAAGTAAAATTGTTGCATAATCGTTGCTTAAAGAGTACCTCCAATTTATGTTGTGTTGAGATATTTAACCAGGTATAAAGGAAATTACTTGCATTAAACAACTTACCAAATGCGGTAACCAACATATAATAAATATAATGGATATGGCCACAATAAGTTTGCTGAACACCACCTCCTGTTTCTCATCCGATTTCATACTTTTCTTACTTAGGGTATATTTAGATAATGTTGTAACTACACCTATGTTACATAACACTAGGGTTATGCATATTGAAAAACCTGAAAATGACATTATTAAAGTATCAAGTTTTAAATCTTATTGGAAGGATACTTTTAGTTCACGAAATAGGACTCGCTTTAAAAAGTAATGATTTGTGATTGGCTTTTCACGTATGTAGGTACACGAGCAATTTTAAATGAATGACATTAGGCGCGTTATTTAAAAGCGCGCAATAGGCTAACAAAATTTATTATTTCACTTAACTTCTTTGTTCTCACTCTTTAAATAAGTAATATCAATATTTTGTATTGATAAAAAACTTACCAAAAATGACAAATGCTATACCATACGCGTAGTCTAAATCATTTGTAGCACCGTTGAAACTTATACAACTCTCCTTTTCTGCGTTGTAGTATGCACCTAGACCCATTACAGGGGCCAAAGTGAATAAAGAAGCCAGCAAAAGTATTGTACCTAGCAGTTTTCGGATCGTAGATGTTGTAATTCGCTGAAAAAAGGACATTAGTTATGAGGGTTCAAGTATTACGTAATGAAACGTTACGATGCGGGGCGGGGATTGAATTACGCGTTATTTTTAATATTATTTTCGACTTTCCAGTACTTTGCACCACATAATGGTAACTTTTAGGTATAAAGAGTCACTAGGTGGTCACGAAACGTTTTACTATACTTGGGTACAGAAAAACGTTACGACATTTGATGGGGTCAACAATCTCCAAAAATTGCGTGACGTAATACTTGAACGTTCCCTTATCCAGAGATCCTACAACTGCACAAACTTTACCTCTTTATAATATAAGTATGAGATATGAGAGTTTTGGGAGTCGCTGCCCTATCCTGCTGGCATGCTATGCTCGGAAGCATACCGAGATAGTCAGTCTGTCCATTATGTCGCGTCATAACCGTGCTTAGACCGTGTTTATATGAGTTTATGAGTTAAGTCCTTTATACGTTGGTATTCACAATGGTGTGGATAAATATCATTTTCGCCTTGGATATCATATTTATCCATAAGTGGGCATATACTTACGTGGAAATATAAAATCGGGTTTCTTATCGCGAAAAAGCGGTCTATCGCTATGACAACGTCAGTGCAACCTCCATTTATGCCAAACATACGACCGACAACGTATAATGCGCAGTAATATCGACTTTTAGATGCTGAAGGGCTTAATTGATACAATAATTGTGCACAAAGCAGAGCAATCTGTAAAAAACAACGAAAAAAATCTTTTTAATTAACAGGCAAACGGGCAGGAGGCTCATCTCATATTAAGTGATAAACATTGCCAGAGGGCTCTTTTTTTGAAGGACCCTAAATTGAATTGGTTCGGAAATACTTCAGTGGGTAGCTGGTTCCACATAGTGGTAGTGCTAAAACTGCATTAAAAATCGCTCAGTAGTAGAAAACACATGTACATAATTATATACATAATCAAGCGTTAGATTAATTTACGCCTAAATTAATAAAAGAAAAATAATTTTATGGTTTAGATTGAAGCTACGGCGAACTAATAAAAAAAATCATCAGTCTCAGGCACTCAGTGGCATTCAGAGTAGTGGCTTTGAGCTGAGTGTGACTGCCGTACGTCGTATCCAGATTTTTTTTATCGCGAGAGTCGACTGAGTAGAACCGTAAAACATAACGCTACTGACATATCTTTATATATATAATTCTTCTGTGAGTGTGTATGTCACTGAACTTCTCTCAAACGACTGGACCGATTTTGATGAAATTTTTTGTGTGTGTTCAAGGGGATCTGGGAATGGTTTAGATTCACAAATCAGCCCGGCAGATGGCACTGCAGTCGGTACTTTCATACTTTGCTTAAAATCCTAATCGCTTTAAATATCATGTAGGACAACGTCTGTGGGGTCCACTAGTAACTGTATATAACAGCTTTATTCAAAAAACTTTCTTCGTTAGTTAATAAAAACGGTAATATGTATAAAGATTGTTTTAGGATGTATTGTTAAATATATAAATTAAAAAATAACTTACCAAAGCAGCTGCGTTATTCAGAGTCAATATTGTGAGAAGTAATTTTTGTTTGGCACTTTTCACTTTATTACCAAATATTATAAAAACAAATGCTACTAAGTTTACTAGAATACCAAATGCCGATCCTATATCAACTATAAATGATATATAATATATTAATGAACTAAAATTCGTTTGATGAATATGTGACGTCCCATTATTCAAATATGCCATGTTGCCCTGAAAATAGTTAGAAAACAAACAAAATCTAGCAAAATATAATATAAGAATTTAAAGTTACGAACGCGTTGTCGGTTAAGATTTTCACCACTATAATGAATGGCAAAATAAGTAATTCAGACGTATACTGTTGCAGTATAAATATGATTTTGATTTATCAATTACATTTTGACCCTTTGTTTAGTAATGAAAGTATTTTGGTATAATGCGTCAGAACGGGGAAAATAAAACAGTTTAAACGTCATTGTGGGTTTTCCATTGTTCTACCACGTACGATAAAATCAATATAGAATAAGGAATAGCTATTGAATATTACGAATAAAGAGATTCATATAATATAGTAACAGTAGCTGCGCCCGCGATTTCGTCCGCTTGGAATAGTGACTTTCAGCAGGACTTTTAATTCTTTAAGCTTATGAATTTGCAAATAAAACGCATACATACATTAAAACACATAAATTAAACGGTAACGGTATTTTTCTGCATATTTTTAATTACAATTTTATACCCGATGTTTTTAAGTTTTTCCATCTTGTTTTCAAGATTTTATGGATCACACGTGAACATGCCTACAGCCTTGGGAATTTTTGTTCTTCTAAACGAACACCTTCTTTAGCATTTGTCCTTGAGCTTCATTTATTAGCTTTCAGGGGAAAACCTCTTAAACTGAAGTGGAAAACATTTTATCATCTCATGATTATAGCTTTTATAATGTTGTCCAGATGTGTTGAGTAGCCGTGTAGCTTTCAGAATAGTACTGGAACAGCAACTTTCAGGCTCAACTTATGGGAAGGCGTACTCCTAATAAAGAGCTGAGAAACTCTATAAGGGATGTTGTTGAATACCTATGAGTGTCTATAACATTACCTACTTATAGGTATTCGACAACATCCCCCTCCACTGACATTATTCGTTTCATTATACTGTTAACTATCGGATTAGTCTGCGCCAAAATTGCCCTATCACACAGCCAATCCTGATGGCCCATATTTATTTGACGATCAGGACCAACCAGGCTCCAAAAGAGAAACCACTCTTTATATGGAAATTGTATTCGTTTTTACAACAAACTCCCAAGCGAAATTAGAGAATTATCACTAAATAAATTCAAAGCCCTCGCTAAACGTAAATTATTCAATAAAGCTTTTTATAAATTTGACGAATACTCAAATTATCCTAATTCTTGGGATTGATTTGCTCCAGTTCAAACAATATCTTCTTATTATCAACCTTCTTTCTGCCTTCTTTCTTTGTGCGACAGAAGTGGTAGTTATTTGAAATTAAGGGTACACTCATTCATCCTGATTCATTGTGGAGAATGAATTTTACTCTAAATCTTTCTTACACATACTGCTTTCAAACACTGAACAGCAATCGAACCCACGATTTGAGGGTTGTGAATCGCGTGCTTAACTACTAGGTTAGTTAATGTTACTAGAATTTTACCTATTCTAATACTTTAGTAATTTTTGTTTTAATTCTTAGTTTTAAGGTCTATTGGTGTTTCGCGTAGCCAAGACGAAGAAGAGGACGGTTGCCACTTGTGAAATGTATAGTAGTATCTATCATCTATACGAGTAATATTTATTACTTTAATTTATCTACTTCCATCTCAAAAGCGCAATAAATGCAACGTGTTTAAGTTAGTCACCCGAACCCGTAAGGCGTATATAATATAATTAATGGTGAAATATTCAACGGTCAATTATAATACTCTAGCTAACTCCCAGAAGAATTATAATGTCAATTGTCGAAACTGCTGCGAAATGTCGACAGTCTTGACATATAGTATAGCATAGTCTCGGCAGGTTTGGCCTATGTTAAATGTTTGTTTTCTTTTTTCTAACCTAACAATGCGTGGTACACTAAATCATTTTTAAAAGCTTAAACTTTGAGTTGAATGTGTAATTCTACAATGAATCATTTAGAGGTATTTAAATTCTGTAAAAATCTTGGCTGTTGTGATATATGTTGTATTCGTTACATGGGATACAAGAAATATAGTGTTTACGAAAATTCTAAAACATTTGTAGAACAGGTATGCTTTTTTACAAAAACAATTGAATTACACTAAATATTAGATGCCCACACTGCAATATTTAAAAAAAATATTTTGGAGAAATAAACTTTCAGTAACATTGAAACAGAATTTTTTAATTTAGCCAGTAGTTTTTTAGATTATTTGTGGGTTTGTTACCCACCAAAAACAACAATTAGAACCTTTATGTCTATAATAATATAAGTATAGACATGAATAGCTTCATCTTAAGATTGTTGAGACAAAAAATAAGTGATTATAATTAACCATAACTGTGTCTTGTTTTATTAATACAGATACGGTTAATCTATTTGTACTAAAATGTATACTGATTTCTAGTATCAAGATGCAGCTAAGGACAAAATTCTATGTAATAAGGATAGTATTACTAGTGAAACTATTATAGCTGAAAATAATGAGACAGGTACAGAAATAATGAATGTTTGTGTTACAAATCATAATTTGGATATTAAAGAATCTGAAAAACAGGAAACCATAAATTTTGTTGATAAGATAATAGAAAATTATGAAGAAAAAAGTGAAACTCCACCAAGTAAGAAACGTAGGTTGGATGTATGTGTAAGCTGTCTTGGAGTATTGCAAGAAGAATTCTGGAGAGATACATTTGTGGATATCAAAGATATGATTTTAAAGAAAGGGTACATCTTTTATTATTATTTTTTTAAATTTTGTATCAAATTTTAGGTTGACTTATACTTGATTAATAAAATTTCAGTTATGAATGCAAAACCTACACTTGTGGACTCTCTGCTCCCATATCAACTATACTAAGAGAGAAAATAATAACATTAAAAATTGTTGAAGCATTTCCAGAATATGATCCTAGTGAGTAATAACTTTATAATAATATTTGTATACATTATAGAAAAATCTTGTATGTAGTTAAGATTAAAATGTCCAAATTTATTGCAAAAAGTTTATTAAGCTGTTTATTATATAGCCTAGCTAAGAAATTAATATTTTAATTTAGTACAAATAATAATGCTTTTAAAAATTCTAGCTATATACACACAGCTCAAGGATGCATGGAAAATGTCTTTCAGACCTAAAGTCGCTGATTTTATTGACAAGTCATTTGATTTGGACTCACCATTGCTCATCATGGTACATTTGGATTATCCCGATGATTTACAGGTAGGTGGGGAGATATTTCTGTTTTTCCATATTTTAAGTAAAATTTTTGTATTTTTATTATAATCCATTATATTGCTATAATGATAGATTCTTACCTTTAATTAAGGCTAAGTGTGAAGATACTACTTATTATAGATTTTAAAAAAGCTTCATTTGGATTTATATTTTATTTTGTTGCTATTCAAGGAAGTTCTCAAAACATTTTTTTCCTGTTCAATCTTTTAGTCAAATGCCAGAATTGTAATAAATTTTTATTAAAAAAAAAATAATTACATATATTAATATATTTCAGGAGTTAGAAGTCTTAAAGAAAGTTGACCCAGGTCTTTTTGAAAACCGCAATAAATATAAGAGAAGATTTCCTACAGAATTCACGAGGCAGTCAGTTGAACAGGTATTATTTTGGATTTAAATAAGTATTATTATTTTAAGTTTCATTTTTAGCTTATTTCCAAATTCCAAGCAAAGAAAAATAAATGTTTAAATCATTTATTGACACATTATTTTAAGAAATCAATTTAAATGTTTTATTTTACTATCAGGCTCTAGAAGATGTCAAGCTCTCAAACTTAATGTCTTCAGGTGCCCAATTAACAGTGAGAGGCCACGCGCAGTGCGTTAGTGTTGTAGGTGCGCATGCGCCGGTCTATTTGGGAGGCAGGTGAGGCATTCCTTGCTTTATATTTTATAATACTACAAAACATAATATGGTTCTGTATTTGTCAATTAGTCTTTTTCTTTTAATTGGTATTCATCTGTTACGATCTCGCTTTGATTAAAAAAAATATTCATGATATGTATTTACATGTTTTCGACAAAACTAGAAAATAAATAAATGTATTTTTCAGATATATAAAACTAAGCAGAAATCTACCTCAAACGCCGTGGATTTTAAAGAACGTAAGAGTACTACCGAATTCAGTAGAAGAAATCATATTTGAACCTCTCGCGAAACTGTTAAAGTAAGTTTTCATCATTGTGCTTCCATCCACTTGCCACTGATCACTGTTAGCCACCTCTGATGATAACTTGGGTTCACGTGGTACAAAAATTCAGTTGCCTTTCAAACTCAAAATAAATTTATTCATTTAGGTAAACAACTACACTTATGAACGTCAACAGAATAGATGTTAAATTGATTCTAAATTTACATTTACTACCCGTTCGCATGTCATGTCATGTCAAGGGCATAAAGATGGCAAGAAACTCCTTTTAATCGCCATGTTTTGGTCATATAAATTGTTTAAACTGGGGCAAATAAAGCCCAAGGATTGGGATCGTGTAAATTATGGTCAAATTTATAAAAAGCTTTATTGATTAATTTACGTTTAACGAGAGTTTTTAATTTATTCAGTTACAATTACCTAATTTCTCTCTCGAGTTTCTTGTAAAAACGAATACAATTTCCATATAAGAAGTGGTTTATCTTCTGGAGCCTGGTTGTTCGCTCGCTTAGATTTGTTCTGTTTCAAGTATTATACTGGTGAGAGTCACCATTTGTTTTAAAATCTTAATATATATAAATTACGTGTCACGTTATTTGTCCGCTATGGACTCCTAAACTACCGAACCGAAATCAATAAAATTTGCACACCGTGTGCAGTTTGATCCAACTTAAAAGATAAAATAAAATAAAAATAAAATATGTTTATTATGGAACATAAGATACATGTATCACTTATTCCACGTCATTAAATTTGAACTTTAACCGCGTAGGCTGCAGAACTAAGGGTGAGATCTAGTCCACTTGGACTTTGCTCAGACTTACCTTACGAAAAACTTTGCTTAGTGTACACTAAGGTTAAACTATATTTCGTATTTATAGACATTTTAACGGTGAATTAAGCTAAGCCCAAGCTAAGACAGAAAATGTCAAAATACAATTGATTTTCATTTCATGCAATACTTTGTTTATTATCCTTTAAAAAGTAAACTAAAATATTTAATCTAAAACGGTACACTTATCTTCAATTTATTGTTATTTATGTATTCATTTATTTTATTATTGCAATAACTAGAAATTTACGAGTAACCTTTAGAAAATGTATTAATTATTTAAAGATGACAATAATTTTATTACGTAGAACGGATCGCAATGTTTTGACAACACAACAGAGCACTTTATCAACAATTGAAAATTTTAAACACTTTTCTCTTTTCTGTTTCTGTTTGTATGAGCTTATAAATATTAAATTTAACTTTCTTCAAAAAAACATGGCTTTGTGACTTGGACCTGGACCACTGGATCGTATACCTACTTAACTCCTACGCATTCCCGAAGCACTGTGACGTTTGTGATTTGGCGCATGGACGCTTGGAATTCAATATCGAAAGTGACATGATGGAGAGAGAGTTCTATCTTCAATAGAAAACATTGAAAGGGTAGGAACTCACCGAATGAATCTACGAATGCCTAAAGTATATGTTCGGACTATAACAAAATCCTTCCATCCTGTCGGTGAGAATGAATTCAAAAGAAGGAACCGTATTTTGAAACACACGGTATTAAATGTGATCCTGACGCTGATCATTACAAACTTGCAACCTTATAACAACAGAGGATCGCCAAACTTTTTTTTTTTTTTTTTTTTTTCATTGATTACATATTGTGTGTAGTGGGTAGTGCAAACGTGTACTGGTGTGTCTCGTGAATTTTTTCTTAAATTAAATAGTATTTCGGTAAAAACATTAAAACTTACAGTTTTAGTGATGAACTATGTCCCACAAATCAATCGCTATTTTTCTCAATAATATCCTTTATTTAACTTATAAACTTAAAGTTGGATCACTTCTTCAAGTACCTTCAATTTAACTTGTATTTATTTTTCACATTCACCTTATTATGGAGGATCTTAAAAGTCATTAAGGGATGTATCCGAAATGGTGTCTACCAGAATGGAAGAGTTTCAGCAGCGCCTTATTGCAACTCAGAATAGGTCCCCCTCACTGGAACAAACTCCGCTTGCTAGGGAATTCGAAGCTTTCAAAAATTCTGTTTTATTCTGCCTAGAGAATCTCCAAGCTCAGATGGCGATTCTATTTAGAGTGCAGGATGAACAGGAGATGCGCAGTAGGCGAAAGTGTCTGTTGCTGCATGGAGTAAATGAACAAAGGATGAAAGCCAGGGCTCCATTGCAAATATGATATCCATACTGTTAAAGTGTCCTAATGTGACGGAGCAGTGCCTCTCCCGTTGCCATCGTGTGGGATTAAGATGCAATGACAGCCTAGGCCTATATTAATAAAGTTTCGTGAGCATGCTGAAAGTTAAGGATCTGGCTGCCAAAACTAATCTTAAAGGCACCGGAAAACCTTGTCTGAGTTCCTGACAAAATCAAGGCACTCCTATTTATGGAGGCAAGAAAGCGGTTTGGCGTCTCAATTGTTGGACTCCGATGGACGTGTACAAGTGATAGGGGCTGATGGGAAACTTCGCCGCATCTCTTCGCTGAAGGAACTCATTCATTCCGGACAGCATCCGTCATCGACCGCAGCTGATGATGCAAAGCTGACTAGAACAAGACCCGTAATAAGAAGGCTCCAAAAAGGGTCAATAACTTCCGTTTGTACGGTGTTGGTGTTTCGTTGTTGGGGTTTAATCAACTTTTTCTTGGTTTGTTGTCATGAGTTTCAAGTGTTAAACAGTTCTTTTTTTAATTACTTATTTGGTATCTTATAACCTTCTCCTTCGTTTACAAATTGTTATTATGATGATATTAATTTCTAATTGTTATTTGTTATTAAAGCCCATTGACAGATTATAACTACTAACTTTCTAACGTGATGAGACGGCTGACACTGTCAAAGGTTGTTATTGTCAAGTGTCAATTGAGAATTGATACACATAGTATTTCCACAGAACATAAAATTAGTCTCGTATAATAAGCTTTTGCTTTAATCCTTACATATCAGCGGTTGAGTGCGATCGTAAGAACATCTTTTTACATTTCTTATTATTATTTTTTTGTATTTTTTAAAAGTTTAAGCGCTTATATACTTGGTGTAGATTTTATTTAACTTTTTAGATTAGTTTTTAGTTTTTATTTTTTTATTATCATACTTTTGTTAATCATGGATTGCAGTAGTGGTAACTCTGATTTCTTTCTCTGAATCGTCCGATTGTGACTCCTTCCATAGCTTGACTCCTCCCCTACCCTAAATGATACCTTATCCTCTATTTTTCAAAACTTGCCTAAGCACTTCAATGTTGTACACATTAACGCCCAGAGCGTTCCAGCTCATCACACAGATCTCCTTACGTTGGCCTCTAAAGACTCCATGCCATACTTATTTCTGAAACTTGGTTCAATCCTTCCCTTTCCTCTGGTACTTACTCTCTTCCTGGTTACAATTTAATTAGAAATGACCGACTCGGCATGCGTGGAGGTGGTGTGGCAATTTACTTACGTTCTCCATCCCCTTCTCCATCATTAGCTCATCGCCAAGCCTCCACCTGCAATGCACGAGCATCTCCTTATCGAAGTTCTTCTATCCAACTCTAAGCTTCTCCTGGGAGTCTTCTATTCCCCTTCATCATCGGTGGACTACTTTGATTCCTTTGAAGACACCATTGACCAATTTTCTCCCTTATATAAAAACACAATAGTCATGGGTGACTTTAACACATGTCTGCTGAAAAATGATTCTCGCTCAGACGGCTCCTTTCTTTAACTCACTCTTACAACCTACAAAACTTATATCTTAACGCTACGCATAAAGTCCCCGGATTTACTCCGTCACTATTGGTCTTATTTTTGTTTCCTCTCCTCACCTTGTCACTAAGCATGGGCAACTTCCCTGTCGCCTTCTCTCACATACCTTCTCTATCTCTCCTTTAAACGAAGCCACCCAACAGAAGCCCACGGTAGTTATGCGTCGCGCTTTGGTGGAATCGACCATGATAGCCTACTCAGTGATGCATCCAAAATTGACTGGAGTGGTCTGTACGACTTACTAACCTCGACGACAAAGTTCAGTTGTTCACTTCTTCCTCCAAACCTCTATGATAAGCACGCCCCATTGAGACGTGTTAAACTTAAACATTTACCTGCTCCCTGGCTCTCTGATGAGATTAAAAGATTGATTCACAAAAAAACAGAGCCATAGCTAAAATGAGAACTGCCAAATCTGATGCGGAGCGCGAAAAATATAAAGTAGTTCGCAATCGTTGTAATACTCGCTGTCGTGATGCTCAAAGGCAACATATCCACGACTCAGTATCCAATGGCGACACCTCAAAAATCTGGAAGTTCCTCAAAACCTTGGGGATTGGCAGATCGGCACAGAATGTTATTTCTTCAGCAATAGATATAAACAACCTTAACTCTCACTTCACCTGTTCTCCTGCCACGATAAGTCTTCTCTTAGGAAGACAATCAATAAACTACTTCTCTTCCAACTCCAAACTTCATGCCTTTTTAATTTCACTGAATTCACCGAGCGCGAAGTGGAGGGTTGCATCCAGTCTATCTCGTCGGATGCTGTTGGTTGTGATGAAGTTAGTCGTGCTATGATCTTACCTATCTTCAGCTATTCTTCAAGTTATTACTCATATTTTTAATTATTCAGTTACTAGTGGTAAATTCCCTACTTCTTGGAAGGGTAGTCTAGTTATTCCTATTCCCAAACGGCCCGATCCCATTAACTTTTCTGACTTCCGGCCCATTTCTATTCTACCATTCCTTCTAAAGCTCTAGAGCGCCTTATACACTCGCAGCTTAGCGGATTTCTGAATAAAAACTCAATTCTAGACCCTCTCCAATCGGGTTTCCGCCCGGGGCATAGCACGACTACGGCATTGGTTAAAGTTTGTGACGACATTCGCCGAGGGATGGATGGTGGGCACTCCTGTTCTCACTCTGCTTGACTTTAGCAATGCTTTCAATACTGTGAACTTTGAAATTCTGCTTGGGTTGCTTCGCTCTATGAATATCTGTCCATCCGCTATTGACTGGTTTCATAGCTAT